CTGAAAATGGAATCTGTGTGTACTTTTGACCACCGATATGACCAATTTTCTCGCTTAATCCAGCGGTTACCTCTTCGTCCCGTTCTGTACACCATATGGAGTCAGGAAGACATGTCCTCTGGCTAGTCATTATCTCCTAATTCGGATACATTAGTCAGGGTAAATGGCTCCGTCGCACTTCACCTGAACCAAACTGACTTCGAGCCATGGTCAATCATACTGCAAAACTTTATTGGTGCTCACCACAACAACTTTGATTTTGGAAATCGCTACTTTTTAATTCGGTTTCGCGTGAGTTCAACTTTGACTTACCATCTCTTTCATATTTTCCGCTTATGCTTATTTGCAGAAGTTTAAACTAATGATGCGATTGTATTTCCCATTGACCACTAGACGACAGAGCAAGTCAGGCGTTCGGTTTTTAGTCCACTGGGAGCAAATTCGAAACGGCGACTGCACTACCGTAGACCACGTGTTGCCCGTGGTAGTCTCATAGATGCGAAGCTTGGACACGAACTTCCGGCGTAATATTGCCGCCATCTTTGCTCACCTGACTACTCGTATGCGGCAAACGAAACGTGCATTGGAGCACGCAATCCTCTCTAGTGACATTGAATCACGCAACAGTAAGAGGTCAGATCGTAGTTTCGCTCATGATTGCGCCGCGCTGGTCTCGATATCGGGTCTTAAACACAAAATGAATGTATACTTGTTGGCAGTCATGACAACTAGCTTCGCTGAATGTATTTTGCGTATGTAGCAATCATTGAACTGTCAACCAGACGCAAAATATTTGACCGCGGTATACCGTACTTGAGCCTGTACGCGGTGACGCAATAGTTACGGGGGGGGGGGAAGGAAAGTTGAGTTTAAGCTCCGTCAGCGAAGGCGTTGTGATGGGCACAGGATTTTAATCCACATAAGCAATACGTTTCTCGTCGTAAAACGGCTTTCCAATGGCGAAAACATAAATTATTCCGCTATCCAACCCAGTGGCAATAGACTCAATTAGAAGTGCAAGACTCCTTTCTCGCAGTTGTCATGCTTAAAACTCTAATGAGGACCTACCTTGAGATTTTTGGAAGTGATTGAGTATTAGGGGAATTTGAGTGATATTAACAAAAATCATCACACATGGACTTAGTCAGACAGCCATTACACGCCCGCGAAAAGCACTGTATAGCCGTTTCATCCTTTCGGGAATGGTCAGCAGTGTGCCTTCTATCATAGCCCTCTGCGGCTTGAAGCCGCAACTCAATTGTTGCCAGTCTGTGGTTGAGACCACTGAGTTAAGGGGAAAGTCAGCGACCCCCGTGACTAAGTTGCTACACGGGGTATAGCGCCGCTCACTATCCACTGACTCGTAGGTTACTGCCGTGCAGAGGACAGGGAGGACTCCCACCAACGTAGTTACCAAACTTAAGCCTCCAATTAACTAGCATCCCAAGCATTATGGTCTGCGTATGGAGTACAAAGGTGTAAGCATAAATTCATCACCTGTACACCTAGTCAGACAGCCATCGCACGTCCAGAAATGCGCTGTACGGCCGTTTCGCTCTTTTGGGAGTCGACAGCTATGTGTATTCTGCGGGGCTTGAACCCGTAGCTGGATTTTTGCCGAACTGTGGTTAATACTACTGTGACACAGTGGACATTAAAGACCGTCTTTACTGTTACTAGGTGTGATACATTGCCGCTTACTATGCTGGAGGCAACGTTGCTTGCAGCGAGTAATATCACCGGCTATTTGGATGAATGGCTGACTGTTTGAGATGCCTTTGTGTCGGCTATTTCAATAACACCGAGTTGATGGCAGTGCAATTGAAAGTTTAAGGCTGTCATACCTTTTTCAGCTTCTCGGCTATTTCCATACCGAAGTCTTCCATATCTGAACGGGCATCCCAAAGATTTAGACTGTGTGGAAGTGTGATAACCGTATTTCTCTGGTCCTCTTGTGCGCGGTATGGAGGAACAAAGTTCAGTTGCTGTATTTCGAACAGACACGGAGGACAGTACTCTGTATTTGGTGATCATGGTGACCTATGCACGATGATTGCTTATTACAATTACTGGGGATTTTCTTTCACCGAGTAGTTCTCAACAACCTTGGGTGGCGTGCAAGCTGGCCAAAAGTGCTACTCTGCATTTGTGTTTCTTGATCCAGAATACTGCTTACGATGTGTTTGTCGCGACTTGGCAGAGCACGTTTTGATCCTAACATGGTGTTCGCTCAGTGTGTATAATAATTTCAGTTGGACAAGGTGCTCATGCGCTTACCCCTTCGATCTCCAACCCCCTTGAGTATTTCACACCTCTACAGTCAGTGCGGTTGTTTGCTAGGGTTCTAATAACATAGAAAACCGCTGGACCACGTTGTCTTGACTAGGGTCACCACAACGACGATGATTCGAAACAAGGAATAAAACAAACAAAACAAGAGACAAAAACAAGCCAAGTGCTAGAGAGTTTCGGTGCTGCACTCTCCCGACACTGCACTACACGACGCGTTTTGTCCTTGTTTGAACTTATCCGGTAGAGAAAGCCTGATCTGGGAGTGGAACTTGACGCTCCTTGTTTGATGGCTATCGTTATGCTCACTAGGCAATTGAGCTCTGACAGCGCAGTTTGACACGATGGTTATAATTTGATCGTCCGCCCGACAAGGAAACCAAGTGGGGATTTCTCGAAGTAGTAAAATGAGGTGCTTTGAGTTCGTGCGAAAAATGAATCGAGTCAACAGAAAGGGACCAAGTATGAGGACTCCAGCGGTTATGTGGTTACGCCACATCCGTTGATGATCTTGCCCAGTGTTCTATCCGATGCTGACGACTTCTTGTGCAAACACCAGTCTGACCAAATGTCCACGTCAACCCTATTGCATTTCTTACCGTACCATCAATGGTCACTGTTGGAATGGATCACTTTATGTGACCCTTCAGTCCCCTGGACCAGATAGGTGGAAGAGAATAAAGGATTTTTATCTAACAATGTCTAACCGGGCGCTACAAGACCGCCTTTAAAATTCTCCGTAGTAGTCATGACAATATTCCTCTCCGCAGTGACAAATGACTGCGCGTGTCTTGATGGCCGACATTCTTGACCAGTGGTTCGCAAATTTTGTGTGGTTATTACTCCCAAAAAAGATTCATTATAAAATGTTACCGACAAATATGTTAATTTAAATGCTAAGTACATATTACCTATTGCATTTTTCGCTTTATATTACGGAAAACGAAAACAATTTTTTAAATTAATTTTCATCATTTAAGTAAGCTAAACACCTTCTTTAGAGTAATTTTTTATCATATTAAGTGGTGATGTACGTCAGGGAGATGGTTGCTATTGCTTAGTTCGAATGATTTCGGGTAAATCTGATGCGGTTTCGGCTAATGCACATCGTAAGTCGTGTTCCAAGTTCATTCTGTTCCCTACTTTGTGTGTTAGCCCTGACGCAACTTGAGCAGATGTCAGTGGTTTCGCCTTCGTCTCAACCATCCTCTTCCAATTCTTTCCTGAACACTAAGCGCCCATTTCGTGTCTGTAAACATTTGGCCGCTCCTTTACCTGGTCGATTGATGTGTGCTTCCACCTTCATGTTCACTCAACTCTGTAATTCAATCTGGCGAATGACTGCCTGACTCAAAAGAACAACGATCGACAACCGAGCCGATAGAAGCGCTATCTAGCTGCGCTGCTTTGCAGGCTTGTACTCATATTCCAGGTAATAACATTTAGTACCGACGGTTATCTGGTTCACTGACTTCTCACTAATAATTAGTCACTGATGGCTAATCACTGACGATTAGATAGTTAGTTAACTGTTTGATACAGATGCTTTGGCATTAATTTTGTTTGTTGCCAAACTGGTCTCCCAATCCTTATACTTATATTCACTACACGTCAAATTCCATTTTACTCCCTTGGGGGTAATTATCCCCAGGTTGAGAACCACTGCCCTAGACCAAAAAGTAATTAGTTCCATACAACACTGGGAAAAGCACACAAAGAAGCACGCTGGCAGATGTACATCAGCTTGGTAGTTCTATGGCGAAATTCCCACGTTGAAGTATGCAAGCCACACCTTAACCCACATGTTTCCTACGAACATTCGCACTGTCCTAATGCGACACAAATAGGTGATATGGCCCCGTATTCTAGCGTGGGAACTTCTTCCTAGCGAAACACGAAACCGCCTGTTGAAGCAAACACATCTAATGGACATTATCACGAAGGAAAGCTCTTACGACTACCTTGGAGAAACTTCTAGGACGATACTGTGGTATCTTAGCAACCTTCCAAACGTTTGCTCACAGGGCCACAGTCAGGTTATTAAGCAGATTCAACAAGGCAACCATAGCACAGAGGTTGGTGGCCAAGCCCCCGTAGTTAGTTCAGGTGCAAAAGCAAAACTAGACTTCAACACTACGCAAGTGATGCTTCATCTAGATTCGAGTCTTAGGGCGCATCCATAACAAGCCAAAGACATATAGTCTCTTAAATGCCTCAAGTGCCCCTGGCGTCAATCTGATGACGCGCGCTCCGCTCCCAATTGTGGTTTCGTTTCCACGTAAGCAGACTATACGCTTGCACACACAGCAGAATCCGTTAACTGACATCATTCTGCGACAGAGATCTATTAAGCAAGGTTAACTAGGGTTGATTCACCTTTCCTTTTTTAGCTGACCCCATCCTACAGACATTTCCTTGAGCTTTGTGTGGACACAATTAGTCGAAGTAGCCGTACACATACGTCACTGTCTACCTTTAGCCCTCTCACTGGACGGTGTCTTCTCACATGGCCTGCAGAAAGAGAGATATTGTGCCAGCGCCGGCCAGGCAAGTGTTTATGCTCGATCCTATAACCCTTTAATGCCACTCACGCAATGCGGGGGTCGACCTGGTGCTGGTCGCTTCCCGGGCCTAGACATCACATAAATCTTACTCTATACTCGCCTTCCAGTGAATCTGTTTACTACCATCGGTTGATCTTGATTCAACAGGAATCCTATTGGCCCGTGTTGACTCACGTGTTGGCTGTGCTGATCGTCGGCGTATGCATATTTGGCGGTATCCGGCGAATCGAAAAAGCCAATATGGTGCTCGTTCCCATGCTGTTGGGCATCTTGGTATTCACCTTCGGATGGTCTCTCACTCGACAGTACTCGGATGTTGGGATCAGCTTTTTGTTCACGCCAGATTGGAGTGAGTTGGACCGATTGACATTTCAATCTGATGAATTCAGTCACATCTTTATAAGTCCAGTATCACATTCAGGAAGGGAAACGAATGCGAACGATTTTGGGTGTTTCTTCGATTCATGACCCTGGAAAGGAATTTGACGGAAGTTTTATTGGACCCACAGTATTTGTGTATTTGTCTGCAGTTTTTGATTAAGACATTATGCATAAGTTTTTTAGACAATTGTTCCAGAGGTCAGGGACAAGCCAGATTATGTACCACGGGAATGTAATCCAGTTGTTCTGTGTCAAATTTTCTGATGGCCGTCCTATCATAAGTGTCTGTAAAACAATCGTTTAGTGTATTTGCTGGGTAACTTTAGCCTTTGACACATAAACATCTTCTATCCAAATGACAAGTCAAAATTATGTGGCAATTTATATAGCGCACATCTACAAAAGTTCACAACAACAAGCTGTTGGGCAAATTTCAATTGCAAGTGCATGTCCGGCTTTCAACTTAAGTGGTCAAGTTAGAGAAAACCGGATTTCGGGCTGACGTCCGAGATTTGGGTCATGTGTGTGGGGCTGGTAGTCCGAGATACGGAATTCTGTAAGCCACTATGTAATCGTCTGGGGCAATGGACATGCCATAGTCCGCGCTGGCACCACAAATCTGACTGGAAGGTGTCTACAAACTGGGCGACAAAGATGTAGCTTAAGCATAACCTTGAACGATACCCAATTTTCATTCGGTCTCAAATCTTGACGGTGCACCTTGGCATCTAGAGAAATGATGTTGTTCAGTACTTATGCGACAGTACGGCGACCGTCTACAGAGGTCCTCCTTTTTATTCAACTAGATCCGTACTAGTCAAGGAACTGGGGAGCAGCCAGTAGTTGACGTAGTCAGCCATTCAATGTTGAACTTTGGCGCACCTCTTATGCGTTTGGATTTCGACACTCGGACTTTACTGAGGCATCGATTCACTTTGTGGCAGATCTCGATCACTCCGGTCCCTAGAACCGTATCCAAAGTAAAGGTTATTCGATGTTGCTGACTCCCAGCCCTAACCATTCTCTTCCGAACTAACAATGTTGTCTACCTGTCTGCAAAGACGTATGGTTAAGAGATCTTGAAATGTGAGAGTATTAGAACTACCAAGAAGACTATCCGGTCAAATGCGGTTATGTGTATCTCACCGTCATTCATTTTTCCACTGTCTTCTTCCATGCCACACACTTCTCAGGAAATTGCAATCCTAAGTGTCATTACTCACCCTTGAGTGCTAAGTTTTCACCCCTTCGACGGACACACGCATATCTCAGTCGTAGCTCAATTTGTAACTCGGTACTCCATGCTTCAATACGCTCGGCTGCTCGGAGAAATTTTTAATCTGCTCTACTTTCATCCTCCATTTCCAACTGCAGTACACGACGTAGATTCACATGGCTCATTTCATCCGTTGTAGAGGGAAACACCGTATCATCAGGATAGCCATCCGCCAGAGTTAATTAGGGTTTTGTACGCTCATCCATGAGAAAGTTCAGCGAAGCCGTTTGATAAATGGCGCCTGTCTCACTAGCAACCGGAAATGGCATCGTGCGACTACCTGTAGAGTAGTAGTAGCCACCTCTTTAGTCATGGCGCTGTGCCTGTGCAAATCGGGTTGAGGTTCGACCAACTTTGATGGTTTAATTTGCAGCCGGAAGCATGCTTTCCCCGGGAACACTTGATTTGCACCCGTCGCATAGATCGCTGTCGCGTACCAGGACCGTGCTTACTGGAAGCGCTGTCAATTTCTTTGGTAAAATGCACCACTAGAAAGCACGGCAGTTCCACCTCAACCCGGTGGAGCGAAATGTATCCACTGCCTTCATGTGTACTGTCCGGCTGGTATTGGATAAATGGCTTAATAAAATACTATAATATTACTAACTAAGCAAATTGTTTATTTATCGAGAGAATGAACCCACGAAGAATGCAGATCAGTTTCACACAATATGAGCGCTCGTTAACGCGAGTCTTCAAAGTGAAGGAGTACTTTACTCACTATTAAGTTCAATGCTACAGCGCTTGCTAAATCACCTTTTGAAATTTATCAAAGACAAGTTTTTTCTGTAGGTTCGTCGCAGTTAGACCCAGGAAGACAGCCATCACACATCCAGGAAAGCGGTAGACGACCGTTTCGTCCTATGGGGACTCGTCAGTAGCGCGTACCCGCCAAATCCTGCCGGATTCGAACCCACGACCATACTCTTGCGAGTCAGCGACTTATGTCACTAACCCATGGGCGACGGCAGCGGTCCGCCATGACTGATATCTAACTGCGACATAGCGCGGCTCATCCTCCACTGTCTTGCATGTTGTGAATGTGCGGAGGACAGGGCTGGCCCCCAGAGCAGCTTACATGCCACCTCGATTGGTTGAGGCTTGCAAAGGAAGTCGTTGCTCTGGGGGTCAGCCCTGTCCTCTGCACACTCATAACATGCAAGACAGTGGAGGATGAGCCGCGCTATATCGCAGTTAGATATCAGTCATGGCGGTCCGCTGCCGTCGCCCATGGCTCAGTAAAATAAGTCGCTGATTCGCAAGAGATGGTCCTGGGTTCGAATCCGGCAGGATTCGGCGGGTGCGCACTACTGACAAGTCCCCATAGGATGAAACGGCCGTCTAGTGCTTTCCTGGATGTGTGATGGCTGTCTGCCTGGGTCTAACTGCGACGAACTTACACAGAAACCTACTAAATCCCCCTACTACTTACAAAGACAAGTTGTTCAGTTTCAATTGCCACTAGGAGCAGTATAGCAACTGCGAGTGGTGCTGACGATTTGCACTATGTGGTTCTGATATTAACGCGGTCTTCCAGATTCGGGACATAATATTGGTTTTTCGCCCAACGCTTTCTCACCCCTTATCTACTGAGGAATGCAAACTACAGTCTGGTAAATGCGGGAAACAAGCGCAAATTGGGTTGGATAGCAAGATGCGCATTAGCGTCAAACTGAGGTTGCATTATAACAAATGTATTTAAATGGGAAAAGCGCTTTGTTCACGTATTGGTAATGTATACCGGTTAGAAAATAGGATATAAGTAATGCTGGATGCTTCGGTTTGCTACTGTCCTTCCGGTCCCAGTAACCAATGTGTCTCGAGGTTCGGTCAATACCTTCTGTGTTGCTCTGGTGACAATCGGTTGCACTTAAATGGGCTTATCTGTTCGCAAGACCTGCGTCAACCAGCTAACTGCCGACCATCTATTAGCTTGTGCTCGTCATAAACGCGCTCGCCTCAGTTATTACCAAGGTACGATTAGCACACAAACTGCCACACGAAATGCATTTCTGTCAAATAGTCTAATGGTCTTAAGTTGAACATGTACTGGGAACTCAGCTCCAGGCAACCGGAAGGTTATCGGATGCTGTGCATGGGGAGAGTTTGGTTTCTTTCCACCGGTTCGTTTTCCCGGTTGTTTTTCCTTTCTGCTTGAAGTCGCTGCTGCACCTTTAGTCTCCCCAATCCACTCTTCCTCCTCCTCTGTTGTTGACTACCGAATCCTAGTTTCCAGACGATTCCGCCCAGTTTTAGCCCACACGAACGCGGACCCTCACTCTGATCCCACCGACAGGTTGCCAAAAAACGAACTTGGATTTGCCCGGGGCCGTCGATCCTTGTTCTGTCTGGCCGCGTGCCACCGGCTTCAACACCAGCACCGGTGGCTCCCCTTTCGTGGAACGATAGCATCAGTGACCCCCCACCCTGTTTGACGGCAACGACTTCGCTTTTCATGTAACTGCTGCTATCCAGAGTGCCACCTAATTCATTTCTGTGGGGGTAACATTCTTAATAGACCTATTCCATAGAAAATGAGCTCTTCTGTTCGAAATTCTAGCACACAAGCCAACTGGTGTATGAAATCATTCACACAGCACTTTAACCTTTTATTGCTGCCAAAATTAACCGACTCTGTCTCTCTCCCAAATGACTTGTTCGTTACTTGTGTGACATTCTTCTCTAGAGAGCATGCTCACACCTAGCTTGTGGGTTCAAGCCGCCAGCCAGAATGCTTTCGATACCGGGGCAGCCATGGCTCTCTTCATCTCGTACTCGGCCTACTTCACTCGTAAAAATGGCGCAGTGCGATTTGGGATGTTAGTCCCCATGGCCAACAACACGGTGAGGTACGTCTGTTTCCTCCCCATCGACATACGAGTTATGTGTCTGTTCATAAATCCCCATAGCCTTGCTGGACTATATTGTAATTTTGCACGGACCGCATAGCAGTAACAGTGTTCTCTCCTTGTTTTAGTGTATCATATAGTATTGAGTCCAGATGCGCTGTGAGTATACCAACCCATGTAACTCCCTGTCCCACTTCGTAGTCAAAGTTGCCAGATCTTTTGAACTGGTGCGCTTGCTGATGTCCCATTGTTGCACTTAGATGTAGTCAACTTGTGGCTGGAAGACATCCCAAACGATCTTTCCGCACAGTTTCATTGCGGCTAAGTCCCTGCTTCCTGTCATACACTGTTAACCTAACTGGCATGTCTTCATGCGTTTTTCTCTTCCGTAATGCAGTGGTTTGAAAACCGGAGGCATTTGTGCTTGACTGTGTGGTCCCCATAACTTTTATTTGCTCTCCTGAGCACTTTCCGCTTCCTAAAAGGCAGTGTATACGCGCTGAGGCACCGTCATCCTCGGGTATTACAGTGATTGTGTAAGACGTTGTATTCATGCAATCACCTATGCACGCATTTAGCGACTGGACCCACATTTGAACCTGAATGAGGCCGGGGTTTCTTCTGCAAAACGAACGATTCCATGGAGATTTTTTGACCAACTCGGCGTCTGAAAGTCCTCATGGTGCCTTTTGTCCAAAACACCGATATCGTTATAAAGTTAGTGCTTACCCTTTTCAACACCCATATTACCATCAATCATTTGCGGTTTAGGGTAACCAAGAATGGTTGGTTATGGTAAGCAACCTCGTTGGAGCTGGTTTTTTGTTTGTCATGTTCGTAGACCGGGGTCATTTCCAGTCTTGCCTAATAACTTTTGTTTCTCTTCTTGTTGAAACATATAACCCTAAGCGCTCGGCAGTATGTCATGTATCGGAAGTTGTCATTTTGTTCTCTGTACTTCCTACAAGATAGCGTTCTATCTCCACCTCCAACGAAGTCTGATCAACCGGCATCCTTCAGTTGTTCTCTCATCCGAATGACTCGTATTTGTGTGGGTGTACGCGTGTAGGATGCCTGTCGCATGTAATCCACTGCTTTGCATTTTAGCCTTCTTTGTGCAATCACCATATTCTCTACAGTCTTCTCAACGTTAATACAAACATCCCCCACTTTGACGCGATCGGGAATTGTCCGAATCATGCAACTCAATGGTCCCGGAAGTACCGGGTTAACTTTCACGTGGTGAGTGTGACATTCTTGTGCTCTGTTTTCGGATATGTGCGCACAAATGCATCGTTTCATAGTATCAAGCCCCTCAAGTACGGACACAAATTTACCCTCTATGTTCTCGTAAGCTTATAGAATGTAAGAATCATTTCAACAGCATGCTGGATTAGGACCCATTAGACGTCCTTTACTGATCATTCCTTGTTCCCCTCGATGTTGGAGTAGCGTTTACCTAGGTACGAATACCTGTTAGACGTCTGAGAGGCACGCAGTAGTCAGCAGGTGACCGCCTGTTAGGCACCTCTAAGAGACCTTTCTGGACAAAAATCGGATGGTCATTAGAAAGTCTTGCAGAATCCTTGTTGCCCCATTATTTACGCTCTGTTGTACGTTGTGCGTTATAGCCAGCTAGTTCCCACTTGAACGGCCACTGCACCGGAAGATCTCTACTCCATAATAAACAACCACTCGCAAACATATCTACTTTACAGGGGGTATAATGTGGAAACCACACCCGCATAGTGTTGAGCATTCAGCATTACGTTGCATCTGTCGCCGCTTTTTTGCCGGCAACCAGCGCATCCGGTGCGGTCCACCTTACCAGCCTTTATAGGAAGGCCTCCGAACGCGTATTCGGCTGTCCCACTATCGAGGTAGAATGATATAATGTACAGGCGGAATCCCGACGATGATATATTTTTGCTTTACACATGGGGTGTTACAGTCTATTCGGCATGTGTGTATACGCCACTGGATTTGAGAGAACATCCCCTTAGACGCAACACGTCATGGGGAGCTAAGGTGTGAAGTACGTACGCAATTGGTACTGACCATCGAAAGTTGGATTGACTGGATAATTCGAATACGTAGTTTGTTACATGACTTCGCTTTTTCGTGCATTCTTATCAATCGTCAGCGTGCTGCAGTGGTACATAAACTAAAACCACTGTTATATGATATTTTCGATTGCCAAGGACTTACACTACCTACCTTGTGCTCGCTTCAACCAAATGATAGGTAGATTAGCGTGTCCTCTAGGTAAGGAAGCCAGACGAAATTGTGAAGCGTTCCACCTATTTCGCCGTACGTCTGCACCAAGTTCGACTGGTGTAGCCCTTACTTTACTGCACGGCGTGGATTATGGTGTGTACAATGAATAATGAACAATGATTTATCACGGGATAAAAGCAAGTGCTTGACACGTCCCGTAGGATGTTAGCGGTGAATATGATGCAATTAAAATATGTCTGGGTCATCTATCGAACGTCTGCCGCGATGAATACTTTGATAATTAACATCAGTGTAAAATGAAAAAGAAATATCGCGCGTAAACATTCAGAAAGACACTGGGGCGCAGTGATAGTTGAGGTAAGGAGTGAGAAAATAAAATATGGTCGCTCACTTAGGTCCATTTGATACATTAGTCCTGTTGAAAACATGCTTGGCGCAATCCACTATAGAAGAGTTTAGGTAACAAAATGTTGGGAGCTGAGAGCAACATCTAATCGTTTTTTGAAAACATCCAGGGTAGGAGAGAATACAACTGAGTCTGGGAGTGCGTTCCATGGTTTGCAAACCCGAAGGGAAAAGTAATTCCGTCGACACTCTAGACGGCTATATTGTTCCTTCAACTTTAAGGAGTTACCCCTGAGCTGCGTGTTGTGGCTAAGTTTCAGCAAATTGAGGTATACGTGGTTGGGGTCACTCAATTTCTGATACGCTAATATGAGATCGCCGCGCAGCCTTCGATAACGTCCGCTGAAAATTCCCAGCAACTTCAGCCTTCGGTGGTAAGAGTGATACCGCAGGCCCATCACGTTCTTTGTTGCTCTCCGTTGTGGTGCCTCTATCGCTTCTAGGTCGCGTTTCAACCAAGGTTGCCAAGCTTGGATTGCGTACTCAACATGCGGGCGCAGGTAGGAATTGTGCATAATTGGGAAGATTGATGGGTCAAATCTCCCGAATGCCCTTCGCAGCATGCCGACGTACTGGTTGCCTCTTTTGGCAGCTACCACAGCCTGTTTCGAACAGTTGAGGTCGCTCTGTACGCTCACACCAAGATCACGTTCCTGGGAGCTATTCTGCAATTCGTTTGTCCCAAGCATGTAGGTGTAGTTATGTCTATGGCGTAATTGTACTACGCGACATTTGTCTACGTTGAACGGTAGAGCGTTTTGAACTGACCAGTTCGACACTGTGTTAAGATCGTGCTGGAGCCGTTCATGGTGTTCCGGTCCTCTGATCCTTCGCCATATCTTGAAATCATCAGCGAAAAATAAGAAATCGGAAGTAATTGATCTCACCAAATCGTTAATGAACACCAAGAATAGACGAGGTCCAAGAACCGAGCCTTGTGGTACTCCACACGTCACGTCGATTGCATGAGAAAATGATTCTCGGACTCTCACCACTAGCCGTCGTTCTTGTAGAAAATTGCTAATCCAACTCAGGATTGGATCGCCAATGCCGTAGTTCCGAAGCTTCTGAAGGAGAATGCGATGGTCTAGGCGATCAAACGCTTTTGAGAAGTCCAGGTAGATGACGTCGACTCCTACTCCTTCAACAACAGCTTCAGTCCAGCTATTACGTGCAATTAATAGGTTAGTATTATACGAATGCTTTTGACGAAAGCCATGTTGCTCTGGGGCCATTAAATTGTGGCTTTCCTAATATTGCATCAGCGCGTCTGCGACGATTGATTCCATCACTTTGGATAGTACGGGAAGTAGTGTTATTGGACGGTAGTTTGCAGGATCAGTGCGGCTACCTCCTTTATGGATAGGAGTGATGACCCCTTGCTTCCATACTGGTGGAATAAGGTTTTCCTCTAGACACCGCTGATAGAAAACAGCCAGTGGTTCTGCTAGATCACTAGCTACTGCCTGTAGAGCCTTTGGTCGGATGTTATCAGCTCCGGGAGAATTGTGGATACGCAAGGATAACAACTTGTTCAACACAGCCTCCGTAGTGAAGGTGATGTTTTCTAAACCAGATAGTGGAGTATTAGAAATGAGGTGAATGTTTGGGCTCGACACTTGTTGGATGTGCGTAACCTGCTTGTCTGTTTTGACTGCACAAAGAATAGCGGTCCAGACAAAATCCACCTGCTGATTATCAACTCCCTATCAGTCATCATCTCGCCTTCAGAGTGACTTGTTTTTAACTGACACAATACATTACCGTGATTGAAAATTCTCGGTGGTGAAGCCACTCTTAAAAGGCGGTGACCCAAGAAAGGTGGACATTTACCGGCCAATTGAGCTGACCTGCGTTTTGGTCATGTCGCTCTAGAAAATCGTGAAAAAAGCACAGCTCCAGCTGGTGGAGCCGAAAGACTTCATGATGCCAATACATCATAATTCCATAAAAGCCAGGTCATGCATGCCCCACCTGCTGGTCACGCGACATGCATAGGCGCAAGAGCTGAAGCGGTGAGCATTATTCGACGTGATCTACACTGTTCTCAGTAGTCTTCAGTGAGATGAACCATGAGATTCTCCTGCGCAAGCTGTTGGTGTGAGGTGTTGGTGGCTCAGCACACCAGTGGACCAACAACTTCCTTACTGAGCAAAAATGGTGGGTACGGATTGATGATTAGCTAACCGACTGTTATCCTTCCACCAAGGACGTGCCCCTAGACACCATACAGGGGTCCTATTTTCTTCCTGATCCACAACAAGGAAGTACGCCAACCTTTTCAATCACCTTGTGCGTTGTCGTTGGACGACCTGAAGATTCTGAGAGCGATTCATGCCCCCGACTTCTGTGATATAGTTCAGCGTAACCTCGACCACCTGTCCATGTGGTTTACAGAGTTTATTAGAGCTTTTCACCCATCCAAGTCGTTATTTATGCTTATGGAAAAAGGTAGTGACTGACATGTGGGCAATCTGGCTGATCATCCGATACATCCGATACCTTCTGTGAGGGATGTAAGCGTACGCTCACGTTGCGCTTTGAAGTTTGTATACAACGTGGGCGGACTACACTGTAACAGACTTCACATGCTTTGAACACTCAAACAGTTTCCACATTTGGTCTGAAGAGATTGATACTCGTTTCTTCAACCATAAGACAAATGGTAAATTACGGCTTGCTGGTCTGTTGTGCAGTAACTCATAGCAAGGCGCAGAGTCCGTAACCAGTTCCAAGTGTAGTCACCAGAATCACACCCTGTCTACAGGGTGTCGTGCGAATACGGATACAGGCGATTAGGCTTGTATACCCTTTCGTATCGTCATTTTCGAGTCGATCCCACAATGACTCACCTGATATTACCTGTGGGTGAGTTCCCTATGCTGAGGCCGCTTTTGCACTTGGGCGCAACAAGGTGCACTGATGGGCACCGGTACATGCTTGTGGTACCGGACCTAAAGCAGAAAGTTTCGAGCGCCGAATAGTAAAATATTGGAACAGTTTACGCGAGACAATAACCGTGGCGAAATCGATGTTGCAATTTAATGCATTTCTAGGTTTTTGTGGATTACAGATTCCGAGCGCGCCTGGCACCCGAATGTCGGCCGATGGTCCAGTGGTCTGCACGCCTGGTTTGTAATCACAAGATCACCGGTTCGAATCCGCGTAGGGTCGGGCGCCCTGGCGGTATACGCAGCCCAAGCGCGACTGGTGGTGGTCGCGCGGCAACGAAGTGCCATTGCGGCGGTTACTTATTTATCTCACTTTAATAGAACGTCGAACTGAACCATGTTGAAAATGCGCGGTAGTAAATGACCTTATTCCGCTTGCTTGCCCGATGCTATGGCGATGTGTACTTTCTAGCCTCTCTACTTTAAGCATTCTGACGAGAATACACAAAATGGCAAAACCACATCACAAATTGCATCTTCTGATTTTTGTGCTTGTGAAAATTGTTCTGAGCGGATGACGGGAAATATGAAGATTAGCAGCAACACATTGTTACTATATTTTTACAAAACCAATAAATACCAGCCACTCAATTTTAGTCTGATACATGGATGGTCGAGTGTCTAATAACGTTGAGAGTGGTTGGGTGCCACTTGAGCTCGAGCTTCAGAGTACCGTATCCAAGTAACTTTTGGTCGTCCTTCATTCGACCTGTACTAGCAAAATAAATTTGTTGCGTTTAATTGTTCGACGTTTCATACCTCAAGATTAGCGACGCAGCAAACATTTGATTTTTTATTCGCTGTCCACAACAACCAGGGTTAAAACGCTGATTGTTTACGCCGCGGCTATCTGTTGTGACCTTAACTTGCCCTTATACTTCCGCTTCTTTATCTCACCAGGATACCAGTGCTGTTTGCCTACGTTGGCGGGATAGGCCGTGTTCTCTGCTTCCTTTTCTTCCTTTGCCTCTCGTTCGCCGGGATAACCTCATTAATAGGACACATTCAACTGACAGTCGTCACTCTCAGAGACTTGGGATGTGAGTTTCACGATAACCCTCACCTGTTGACCTCGTATGTTTCTCTGTCACCCGAGTAGTATGAAGCGGACCAGCTGCGCTTCCTTATTTAATGTCGTCAGGTTGGAATACCCCGTAGCGGTGGGCACCGCATAGCCGCAATACAGCCTGCCGGTAACATGGTGGTTCTAGTCCAGTTTCAATGAAATCCCTCTGCATCCGGTCGACCTATTTCTATGCCTCCTGGGGTTTAGCGGACTCATCGTGCATTTTTTAAACCAAGGATTAATTTTTTTAACGTTTTTTATTCACATCGGCTAGTAGTTAACTTATAGTCCATCAAAGCTTGTTCTAGTATTTAACATGTTGCTTTTTCAACAATCTGTTTATTTAGCCACGTATGAATTTAACTCCCTGTGTTTCACTACTGACTGTCGTAGATTTTTCTATTATTCCCATATAACTGTTAACCACGAAACAACAGGCACTTTCACTTTCGCTGCCGATGATAGGTATCTTATAGGAACTGATTACGCAACCGATAGACTATCCTCTTAGTGTATGGGGCTCTAAACTGGCTTATGTCAAGTAATCAAGTATCTGCAGACTCTTCGATTGACGCTTGTAATGTCCACTTGAAAATCTCGTTACTTTAGTATAGGGCAGACTTCACTGACTTCAGTTATTTATTTTTCTTGGGATACATATTGCAAATTTATTTTTTATTCAATTCTTTTACCACCTATTAGTCTCTGATCGGAGAGCAGTTCTAGGCGGCCTCTTCCTTACACTGATATTCGGGATGCCGTCAGCAATGAGCATCAAGGTACTAACAAATCAGGTGAGCCCAAACGTGTTTTTGCGACCCTTGTTCAAACCACACCTTGTCCGCGATGACGCACAACTTCTCAAACCTCCGTCAAACAGAGTTAACAAGCCATTATCATTCGGACTAACTTGGTTGCGGTTCCCTACTTATTGGCTGTGCATGCAGAATGTATTCCGTACTATCAGTATGAGGGTCAACGTTCCATTTACCTCCCCCGGTCCCCTCACTTGGAGTGCATGTTAACTTATCCGATCTAGTTTCTCTCAGGCAATATTGTTTTCATTCTGCTTAGTTACATTTCACAGCTTGCTTTGACACAGCGGACAGATGTTTTTGACCCCACGGTATATATGTGAGCCTCATGCGCTCTAATGCAAAGCGCTGATCGATGCCTTTAGGCTCCACCTTGAGGCCTGCATCGCCTATTAGCATCGGGATAGTTTGTTTTAATTTATGGCTTCGTAGCAGCGGAACAGCATCCGAAACTAAAAAGTGTGGCCGCTGTTACTGCTGATCTGGATTAATGGTTCCATGTGGTCGAGGAAATGAGCTGGTGGTGGCATCACATTGGACATGAACGAAAGCCGGTCGATGCATCTGCCACGGTAAAAATCAAGTCGCAATCAGGTTCTCGGTCAAGGAAACGGTCGTGCAGCAAACCACGTTGTCCATACAAACAAATTGCGAGTGGCAGGCATCTTAGAGGAATCAGCTAGTATCCATAACTGGAATGCCATTCACTGGGAAGTGAGTGTGGACATTGCCCTACCAAGGCCGGGTGGCAATGCAAAACTGCGGGTATGTTTTGTTTTTTGAGAAGCATTTTCATAACCACAGCGATCGTTTTGTCCGTTTGAGATATTTTAGCTGCAAGCAGCATTCCCTTGAATCATGCTGGATACGAACTCGTGGCTGCTTCGCTTTCACGGGTTAGTGAGTTAGCTCAGTGTACTCCGTGTGACGGCAGTGCACCACCATGACTAAGTACTGCATGTGACATGTCGGGGCTTATTCTCTGCTGTCATATACGTTACCGCCGTACATCGAAAGAGGCTGGCTACGGGGCTCAATCACCTTCGCCGAGATGTCAGTTGTGGCTTTACGAGTTAACCTGAAGTATTGGTGTTGTTAAAGACTAACAGGGGAATTTTGTATTATGAAAACGTTTACCAGTTGAATCCACTCTGGTTGTCTAACTGTGTATCATCGTTCAGTCACACATGTGCCTGATAGAACCATATTTTGTCAGCATCCGAGTAGATAAGGTTTCACAACTCTAGTGGACATTGTTAACCTAATTACGATTTCAATTCAGGTTCTTTATCCGGACCCTGTTCACTGTAACCCTCTATTTTGTGATCCAAGCGTTAACAGTAACTAGTAACTATTGCATCAAATCTTCCAAGGCTGTCGTTTCGACAATGAGCAGAGGATATCATTATTGTACGATATAATATCTAGTGTTAGGCGTGAAGGATTTTTTGGTCATTTTCCTGTTTGCTCAGGTTGGGATTTACCTGAGTTTCAACTACTTAACATGCTGGTAAGTCGCATTTGCTTCGGTCGCTTTAATTTAAAACTAGACTCATGGTTGGATCATCCACTTTCTTCGCTATGCATAGGTGCTGGCACTGCCTCGCTTATGTTTGCGCGTGTGTGGTGCACCTGCACAGTTGGACTTGCTTGTTGGATCCAACGCAACTCCAATGCCTACCTCATAGTGAATTTATCTCCGTTGTGGAATGGCTGAGGCTGTCTGTTTCAGAGCGACCTCTCCATAGTGGTTGCATCACTGATCTATCCATTACGCGGCGAGTACGTGATGCGGTCGAACCCTATATTTTGGTGCACAGTCTAGAGAGCCAGGTCTTCCTGAGGTCATCTCCATAGGTGCGTTGTCACCACGTCACTGGATGAAAAGATCCATGAAAATGATTTTCTCTACTGCTACTTTGGGACGTGATAAAGCAAGCGCTAACGGTTGGACCTTTCGAGAGATTTGCGTCATCTACAGATGGAACTGGCTTAAACCAGAAAAGCCCACTAAACATAGTGTTTTGGCGTTCTCCTAGTATTCAAACGCTGGTTTAGGAATCAGTTATCAAGCTGGCTTTCTACTGCAAGCCGACTGATTCGTTGTTAACCTTCGGGAGGTGATTATGTCGCACCTATATATCCCCTTTGCACGTTTCACCTATACATGCAGTTACCGTACGGTTTCTGTTGTTGATCTGGTCTATCCCAATGAATTCTACTCCTCAATGTTCGTTTCTTCTGTCCTTAATCTCGCATTCCACCCAGGACTCCGTTTGGGGTTTCGCTCTGATGCTATCTGGCTTGGCAATGGCGACCCTGGTGTTGGTCTATGGTCCCCTGCGATATCGAAAAGTTATCATCAATGATTTCGGCATCGATGACTGGAAATTGCCGGTGATCTGGGTTGGTATGATCAGGTAAGTCCTCTGCTCCCATCCGCTGAGGACGTGCAGCTACTACTCGGCATTTGGGGTCGTCACCTAAGGTCACCGTTATCTTCTCCAATTAGTGTTAGAACTACGAAGCTACTAGTTTGTTGTTAGTAATACCAAGCTACATTCGACCATCGATCCCTTCGTTGCACAGCCGGTCTGTAGCTTAAATTTTACCTGCCTGTCTTTTAATCTGACGGCGTGGGTTCGAGCCTGCGTAGTGGCAAAGCCACCCTCGCAATATCCTTAGCCCATGTGCGACCGGTGGTGATTGCGCGGTAGCGAAGCGTCGGTAATGCGTTCCGTCGTACTGCTTATGCCTTTTTTGCCTTTCGCAGCGCAGCTCATGGCTGGTGGAAACACCGCGTGAGCAATGAGCATGTTAGGTGCCGCGAATTTGGTGCAGGAAGAGCTAGTCAACCGATCAGCACCATTGCATCACGCACCGTATTCCGATGTCTAGACAACGTGTTACGCATGGCGGCACACCGACTCGCGTGACGTGCATTGTTTGCGCACCAGGGGTGTGGATGGAAGAAGAGGAGAGGAGCCCAAGCGATGACTTGGTCAAGAGGAACGAAGTCCCTCACTTCGAACCTGGCGTTGCTTGTTGCTTTCCGAATGCCGGGCTGGGGACCGAGGGACGATGAACACGTTTGGTTGGGTACACTTGTTGATATGGCGAAATGCCGAGATCAGTGGCCTTTGTGTTGTGAGACACTTAGCCCCTCGTCTTTAGCTTTTTTCTCCAACAACGATCTCAAACTCCATGCACAATGTGATTAGCATTGTGTTGCTTTTTATATTCGTTTGTCTACATTGTTTAGCCACTTATCCTTTTTGTATTGCGGCACCTTAGCTGAGATGTGTCTCTCACCCACTGCTAACGTGTATTAATGAGGTTAGATACCACGCTGGGCTGAATTGTCGTGGCACCTCAATCACGGCTGCTTAACTTGTGTCTGCTACGCCTTCAGATTGGTACTGCTTTGTACCACTACTGTGAGGTACCTATAGGAAAATTCTTCACTTTCAACTCACTTTAGGAGAGTTAATTTACACAGTTTTTTTTTGAAATCTTACACTGTATTCGCCTGTTGATGCCATAGTTTTCTCACACCAACACACCTGACTGCGATCAACTCAGTGCACCGTCACTCAAATTGTCCATATACGCCTCACTGCCATTTAAGACACCCATTTACGTTACGTTGTGGCAGTCAGAAGACGATGGTTAGTTGGGTCTCATTCTTCTTAACTATTTCTGTGTCACCTGACCAGGGACTATATATATCCTTATCCTTTAGCAAATCACCAGGACATAAGTACGCAACCACAATCTCAACTTAAACAGACGTGCATCATGCTACGTTGCAATGAGCTGCATTACTGGTTGGCGGCATCCGGTTTCGGATTTGCCTGTCACTGTGGCAAGCCACAGGACGCCTGCGCCTATAGAGGGACCATGGATGGCTTGCGCTGCACCAGCCACAGCTCCAACCACACACCCCATATTCAGTGTAAACCCGAAGGAATAAGACCGGGAGGCATGCGGATGGGAACCACATTTCATCAACGGAGCCGGCCCACACTCCTTCACAGGCAAACACAAGCACACTGTATTTCGGGAAATCAAGCACACACAAGGCGGTGGCTGGACCGTAGTCCGCTCCACACTGACTGCATGGAACCACTCTTTGATCCTAACACGGCCACAAGGACCGTGCACCCTGTCCCCTCCAGCAACGACCAACTGTCTCCTGGAGCCAGTATGGACGATGTAGTGGGTAATAGACAGGTAGGCACCTTGTCAACATGCACATCAAGCTCAGCCACACCGGGGATTTCAAACAACAGCCAAACACTTGAGAGCGAGAGAAAGAAAAAGAGAAAAACTCGATTAGTGCATAAGGAAACGGTGATATAAACCCTAAGTAAATAGCATATGTAATAAGTTGTTTACAAACAGATCCTAGCTAAGTGCACGAGCTGCATTACTACAGTGGTAATAGCTACCATCGGTGATGTGACTGAAACACAGCAGCCAAAAATATCAGTCAGAAGTGTGCCATCGAGGATGAGAACATCGCTGTTCGTTGTCAAATTGGGTTTCCCATTACGAATGTCACGGCATTCAATCCCCCGCTCAGTGAAATCGCACACACTAACGGTTATTCAATAAGTTTCTTGGTCTTTACTTTCGACATTCCCTACTCCATATCCTACTGTTAACTCAAAAAAGCACAATCGATAATAACCCTTGTCACGTTGGCGTGGGGCGGGCAATCACATGACTGGTCATGGTTCAGTAGGTCAGAAAATCTGAGGACACTTCCATTGCTTGATTATTTCTGCCTGCGAAGCATTGGTGGTGGTGTCGGATAGCTGCAACAGGTTCACAATGGTGACTTGTGTAGGCGCTTACCTGTCTAGGATCATTCGGTTAGTTCCTTAGAACAACAGATAGCACTGAATAAATTACGTTGGCTTGGACAGCTACTACATATTTAAATAGATGTCTATTATCGACGGAATGAGAAAAGCCAGAAGGTTGAATGATTAGAAATTTAGCAAATAGACAATAATACAAATCATGAATGGTTACAGCAATTTCAAGAAATATTTTATAGCCCAGTCTTGTATACCGTAGCACAAATGTCATTTGGTCAGAGCAAAGGGAAAAGATCCTATCTTTCGCCAGTATGGAAACGTGAAACAAACCTTCGGCAGTGGTGAATGATAAATTCTGCATAAGGTCTCTTGCAAGAAGATATTTATACCAAGGTTCTTCTGTGTTCTGCGTAATTAAAAGCGTAAAGTATAGGCATCGCTTTTTGATGTTTGTTACAGAAGGATTTACGGGGTATTTGAGGGCTAAGTGACATGATAACCAAGGGATTACGATAAATGCCTTTCAAGATTGTTGCCAGTTTGTGGAAAGAATATCTCATAATGTACAACATTGTCGAGTATGGTGGAGATTGTCAGTCGAGGAAGGAATTGCTACCTATGCGTGTGGTGGAATGGGACTCAGTTGCTTTGATCAGGTAAAGTAACCTTTCTGTCACAAACCGATCGGTTAGTGTCTGAATGAGTCAAATGAAATGATCATGTGGTTTGACTGCATAGTGTAGTGTAGTTGCGATATGATGGCCGGAGTCCATTTCCAGCGGCTTGGAATGCAAGGGGTATTCGATCGAAGCTACAGAGTGCACTGCACGGAGGATGTTTAACTTGTGGCTGGTCATTGCTAAATACAGTCTTCCCGAGCGTCAAAATTTCGGACGGATTGCTAGCACCCTGCGCAAATAGGGCCTGATTTGCCAGGTGCAGGATGGCGCAAGGCTTGAGGTGAGCGAAAGTTAACTTGGACGCAGGAAATGAAGTCACTGACGATCACACTTTCGGTCTTTTGTCCGTCTCGCCTTCCAAGCTATAGTCTAAGTCACCGGCGTCCTGCTTGCCTCGTGACGTAACAGGACTTGATGATGCGGATAATGAGGCTCAGCAAATGGTGCGATGTCATACTGTCTGGTCCGTTGCCAACTATCTGTTGGCGGATAACTCGTATGTGGGGGAACACCACGTTTACAACGACGATGTCTGACGTTGTGTCTTAAAATATACAGGACTCTCTCTGGGCAGGCTAGTGCCGGTTTGCGAATTGAGGTTACCGGGTCACATCCTACGCATGCCGTGCGAGCAACCACAAGGTCGCGCTCTTTTCGCTCGCGTAGCGTCGCACTGGAGGAAACCACACCTTGGTCAACCCACCACATGGCGACAGAATGTCAAAGCACTGTCTTCCAGTTTAGCTGTTGGTGGTCCCGTGCATCTTCTGGGCTAGGGGAACCAAGGATGAAGTGGACCGCTGATTGGTAACTCTGGACAGCATGGCGCGACATCGCTCTCGGTGGACGATTTGTATGAATTTATCCGTTTTCCTCGTTTCCATTTTTTTATTTATTACGCACATCATTTCCATCCTTTTCGGCGGTCACATGTCGGCTGTATAAACGTTCACTTGGTGGAACTCAGTAATTCCATCTCGGCGATTTATCCAAAACAGCGTCGTGTCCAACAACCGTCAATGGTAAGGAATGAGTGACCTCTTCGAGTCATGGGCTGTGTATTTTGCCTGGTCGTATAACGGCGCAGCGCATTCCACATTCGATACACACGGCGCTAATTCGCTGTCCGAATTTGGAACTGTGGTATTACTTTTTTCAATCCAAACCTCAGCTTCATCAGTTGCGTTTGATGAACTCTAAGTTAGCAGCTGAATTGAGCATCGTGACAAATGAAGTATGTGGAACACATCTGGGGATTTGGCTGTCTTTGTCTCAACTGTACTGCCTTTGGCAACCGCAACTGAACGGCACACATGAGAACCATCATGTCGCCGATGGTAGCTGAGGTTGGGTTAATCAGTAAAAGGGCACCGTTACAATACAACCCATTCACTTGGCCTACCCATTGGCTCAAATCTTATAACCACATTGTTTCTCTGCATTCTTATTTGCATACTTGCTGGTTTTTTTTCTATCTCTGCTTTCTCGGGTAACTTTAGTCCTTGTAACTATTGCGAATGTTATTGTGATTATTATTATTATTGCTGGTGTTGGTTGAGGTCTCCCGACTGTCGGTCTGGGGCCGGAAGGACTATGAACACGTTTTTTTGGATACACTAGTCGAGTTGGCGAGGAGCCGACCTCCTATTGGTGTTTTTGTTGTTTGTTTGTCCATCTCCCTGCTCTTTAGCTTCCTCCTCCGACTCACTACTTCATAATGGATGCATAATAGGATAATTAACAGTATATTACCAACGTATTAGTTTCTGTAGTCCGTACTTTTTAATTTCTTCTCATGTTTGTAACGCGGTACGTTAGTTGTGGTGTATTCCCACCCTTAACCCTCGTGTAGTGATTATTATTATTCTGGTTACAATGGCAATTGCGCCTTGATAAATCGAATCCGGACGCTCT